TACACTTGAACTCTCCTCCCGTCTCCACTCCCTGACAAGAAATGGGTGTGTGTAAAAGCTGACAGTGTTCTTTTATATCACTGTCTGGTATCACATGACCTTAGGACAGTCCCTGGGTATGTAAGAATGAATTCTAATGCCAGATGTAACAATGTGTAGGGGTCCTTTTTGAGGAATAGACAGTAATGAAAAGCCCAGTAGAATAGCCAAGAATATGGACTCCACAGCCAGACTGCCTGGTTTTGTTGTTTGGCCTTAAGAGTTCTGGTGAAGAAGTGGTTAAAGCTTTTGGCTGCTAACCAAAAGATGGGCAGTTCGAACCCACCAGCCACTCTGTGTGAGAAAGATGAAGCAAAGATTTAGAGCCTTAGAAACCCTGTGGAGCAGTTGTGCTCTGTACTGCAAGGTCACTATGAATCAGAATTGACCGAATGGCAGTGAGTTTGGTTCCCTCTGGTTAGCCTTAGGCCGGCAGCCTCAGTTTTCACATGTTTAAAATGGAAATAAAAACAGCATCCTAGAGTGCTTATGAGGATCAAGGAGACACCCTTCCTCACAAGCCTTAACACGGCACGCACGTAATGCGTAAGTCATGGCTGTGATTATGATGATTTGAATCTTAAAAAGCTTTGGGAAATAAAGGCACGGAGGAGGAAATGAAGTCATCTTCACCTCATCCCCTAGAAATCACCGCTGCTAAAATGTTGACATGAGTTTCCCCTGTTCTCAGGCACATGTTGGTTTACCAGCCTGTGTGATCACTTTCCCGTGCCTGGAAATATTTTCCTCCAGAAATGATTTTTTTTTTTTTTTTTTTTAAAGCAGCCTGTGACACTTGAGGCACTGTCATTTATTTAGCGAGGCCCGTTTGGGGCAGATTATTTCCACTTTTCCCCTGTGTTATAACTGCTGGGATGAGTAATCTTACATACATCCTCGTGTGGCTTGTGTGGCTCGTGGGTTGTTTCCTTAGAATGGGAGGATTGCTGAGCCCAAGGGCGTGAGTGAGCAAGCCTTGCTCAGGCTTCTGATGAACACTGTGGAAGTACCTTTCAGAAAGTGGTACCCAGGGCGCTCCCTCCAGCTGGGCCGCGGAGCATCTGGAGGGACGAGCATCTCCTGCCTGCTGGACGTCTGTCTTGTGATGCCACATGGTCGTAATGGAGGCAGCAGTTTCTCGCTGTCTCTTCTCTCTCTTTGTTTTTCTCTCTGTCTCCCTTGTTTCCCTTCTTGGTTTTCTGCCAAACAGCCTCTTGTGAGAGGACCGCCTAATTAACCCTGTGCTAATTAACAATTTAAAATTACACAGTGCGACTGTTCATGTTTAATTCGTGGGGAGCTGGAGCAATAGCAGGGACCCCCTCCTCTTCCTAATAACTGCCCCCCCCCAGCTTCCCTGTAACTGTTGCATTTTACGCAGTCTGTCTCCTTCAAGGAACATGATAAAACCACCCTACATCTCAAAAGACCGCCCCAGCCTTTAGAATCCAGTTGTCTTTTTTATTTAAAGAGGGAGATGGATGAGTTAGTTTGAGAGTCACTTGGTAGAGTTTGAGTATCTGAAACAATCTTTGAAAAGTAAAGGCGGATATTTGCAAAGATAGAGTGGACTTTGTAATAGTTTCCAAGGAAAATATAACTTGTGAGGGGAGCAAGTGGGGAGAGTTCTTGATGGAGATAGTCGAGTTTTTCTGTACTAGATTGCTTTTCAGATGGCAAATGTAGGTGCTAAGCAGGGAGAGAGAAAGGAGGAGGAGAAAGACAGGAGAGGAGATGGGAAGAGAGCACCCACTGCATTGCTTCCCTCTAATAGTCTCAGTGGAGAAGGCTGTGCTATTGAAATCCGAGTCCTTAAAACAAAGCAAGACAATTTATGAAACATTTTGAGTTTACTGTTTGGGGTCACATCTGGCAGAATTGAATGCTTCAAGGACTGAAGGGAATTTGAGGGTGTCACCAGCAGAAGAGAGGCAGGTGCAGGAAGTATTGAGGGCTTGTGCCGTGTGAACTGGCCCCAGAGGGAGGGAAGGACATGGAAGGGGTGCAGAGATGGGGGGAGCCCTGAGCACCTGGCGGGCTTACATGGGTTGCTGGGCTGCCTGTGAAGACGCTGGGACCTGCTGGGTTCCCAGGCTGCCCTCTGTAACTGAAGATCATTGATTTTACGGGAAACCATGTTTACAGACAGAATGCTGATCGACCTGCCCAGTTGACTTCTGCCTCCTTAAGTAAGAACTACCTTTTTCTTATTGACTGGCTGATAAACAGAGCGAGAGATAGCAGGCTGGGTGGGAGAGTGGTGCATGCCCTGAGGCCCTCTCGCTGAAAGAGTTCAGGGTTAAGAGCTTTCTTGATCTCTGGGCTCTGATCCCCTCTTGTTCACCCTCATTCCCGCACCCCTCAGAGATGAGCGGGAGCTAAAGAGTGACCTTCCCTAGTTACCTAGCAATCCAAGTGCCATGTCTACGTGAGCTGACAGTATTGTGAAGAAATTGTGGAAGAGTTTCTCCAGCTTTAATGCACCTCACTTGGTGATCTTGTTAAAATCTAGATTCTGCCCCCACAGTTTTGGAGTGGGGCCTGACAGTCTATGTTCCTCATCAATCTCTGCTGGTCCAGGAACCACCCTTGGAGGAGCCAGATGATAAAAGGCTACCGTTGTCATGCCTGGTGTGACTTGAGAGGCTGGCCAGTACAGGCGGTGTGGATGCTGAAGTGGGGACCCTTCTTCCCCACTGAGTTCTGAGTGGGCCTCCACAGGTTCCCTCTCTGGGGTCGGCGTCAACACCTTGGAGGTCATCTTTCTTTCAGTGATGGGTACAGTGGTACCTTGAGCCCTTCTGCTTTGGAATAGAAAACCAAGTGTGGCCAGTTCATGAAGTTCCAACCTCTTAGCTGGATAATTTGTGAAGGAGGAGGAGGAGGAAGAGGAGAGCAGAGAGAAAAGCCCACCAATTAATTGGTAAAGGCTTGCAGATTTCTCTTCCTGGCCCAGGCTGGAGAGGAGATTGGCTTTGCTGTCGATAAACAAGTCCCTGGTGCAGCATCAAAGCCCTTCTCCTTTATCAATCGTGGCCTCCCCTTCCCGCATGTTCCTGTAACTTACCAAGCATTTATGACATTGATTTTACAATCGGGCTGTTAACCCTCCCGCCCCTTCAGGCCTGCTAGCCTTTTGGGCCTGAGCTGTCAATCAGGTGTCATCCAGCCAATCAGGCCTTTCTTCAAGAAGAGCCACCCTGGATTCTCACCTGTATCCCAGCTAAGCCTTCTGAGCACTTGCTGTTTGGTTTGGTTCATTTTATCATTTTGTTTAAAAATCAATATGTCTTTTCTGAGGCACATGGAACTTTGTTGTAATGTTGTTTGTGGTTATAAGTCACGAGGTTTGGCATGTGTATGTGTGTCTTTTAAATAAAACATGACCCATTCTTCCAAAATTCTTCTGGTAAACCTGTCTTCCCTGTCATTTCCCGAGGGGGAGCTGTTGGCTTACTGTGCAGGCAAGAATCAAGAAATGGGGGGGAAAAAAAAAACAAGAATGGGAAGATGGGAGGGAGCCCAAACCCAGCCAAAGCCCTCATGCTTTGAGTATGAATGAGATTGTGGATGGGGAAGCAGCCAAGTGTCCTCCAGGAAGGAGGAGCTGGGGGAAGAGGTGGCCTGGGATTTGCAGGCGACAGATCAGGCCCATGCAGGGCGCTGAGCCGCTTGTAGGAGCTGTGCCGGGAGGGATAAATGGCCTGTGATGGTGTTGCCACAGGAGCAGAGCAGCGGCGGACGATCTGATGCCTCTCTCCCTGGGGATGCCAGGTCTCACAGGGCAAATTCAGCTCAGTGGCACTTTGGAGTCGGAAACGGAAAAGCCCCCGGGCCGAAGGACAGCTGCTCCGGCAGTGACTAATAACTAAGAGGCAGGCGTGGAATGGGACCGCTGAGCCCAGCTGCCATCTCCAGCTCACTACTGAGAGCCTTGCTAGCAGAAGCCACCAAGCAAGTGGTGAACGGGCTCAACCCAGACAGGGAGAGGTGGACCCTGTGGGGGGACGCGGAGTCTGAGAGGCTCATTTCATAGCTGTCAGGCTCAGGTTTTCACTGAGGTGTTCCCAGTCCAGAGCCAGCTCAGTCACAGACCAGGGTGCTCTATGGGTTGGGTTGAGGCAGTGGGACTTTGGAGACCAGCCTTGTGGTTCTGTTTCACTGCGGTCAGGATGACACCGGGCCTGTTGTCGGATGTAGCTCCTCTATGTTGCTGCTCATGAAATGAGACGAATGCTCCCTGGACCTGGAGCAGAAGAAGGCAGAACCCACCCCCACCCCTCCCCGTGGAAGGCTGACAGTCTCAGCACCTTGCCGGGTACGCCCAGGCCTACTACACACACACCCCTTGAGCTGTGCGGTTCTCACACGCTTTTTGTTGACTTCGCACGCTCAAAACACGGTCACTAAAAACACCGGTAGTGCTTCTTCTGAATCAGTTGGTATATCCCAGCCCAGGTTTACCATTCTTTAGGGGGTGCTTGATTCTCCCCCGCGCCCCATCCCTCTTGCTGGCAGCTGGGGCTCACGTTCTGTGTTGGCCGTCTGTCGTGATGATGCAGTCTTCCCTCTTCACTGTGGCTTGTCTCCCTGTCGTGGTGGTAGCACTGTGCTCGCGAAGGATGGAGGTTGGAACTGGTCCTCAGGGTCGAGCAGCAGCCCATCTGAAGACAGAGGGATTCTCCTTACTTCCCTTTCCTCCCGACCTCGCTCATGCTTCCATCCTGGCCGTGATGCTCACGAGCACTGCCCACTCTCTCACGCAGGACAGCTTGGGTGACCACTGGGGTCTTAGCTGTCCCCCAGGCCCGTCCTCTGTAATGCCTGGTCTGTGTTGTGGGTATGGACAGAAGCCCCTTAGAGAGCTCCGTGTGGGACCTGAACCTTGGCCCTCCTAACCTCTTTCCTTTCTCTCTCTCTCTTCCCCCTCTCTCTCCTCTCCCCTTGCCTACATTCTTCAGGTCCGATCCGTACTGGGTGCAATGAAAGCTCCACGCAGGCCTTACCATGGAAGGCTGTGACTCGCCTGTCGTCTCGGGGAAGGACAATGGGTGCGGTCTCCCTCAGCACCAGCAATGGACTGAACTCAACAGCACCCACCTCCCTGACAAACCCAGTAGCATGGAGCAGCCCACGAGCGAGAACCATGGGCCCCTGGACGGCCTGAGGGCCCCCTTCAATGAGCGCCTTGCCGAGAGCACCGCCTCGGCCAGCCCTGCCGCCGAGCCCGCTAGCAAGGAGGTCAGCTGCAACGAGTGCTCGTCCTCCTTTGCCAGTTTACAGACCTACATGGAGCATCACTGCCCCAGCGCGTGCCCCCCACTGCCCCTGAGAGAGGAGAGCGGGAGCGACACCAGTGAGGAGGGGGACGAGGAGAGTGATGTGGAGAACCTGGCTGGAGAGATAGTCTACCAGCCGGACGGCTCGGCCTATATTGTTGAGAGCCTGAGCCAGCTGACCCAAAGCGGGGGCGCCTGTGGCAGCGGGGCTCTCCCTTCACTCTTTGTGAACTCTCTCCCCGCCGCAGGGGGCAAACAAGGGGACCCTTCTTGTGCTGCACCAGTGTACCCACAGATCATCAACACTTTCCACATAGCCTCATCCTTTGGGAAATGGTTTGAGGGCCCAGACCAGGCTTTCCCGAATACCTCAGCCCTGGCGGGGCTCAGCCCCGTCCTGCACAGCTTCCGCGTTTTCGACGTGCGACACAAAAGCAACAAGGATTACCTGAACAGCGATGGTTCTGCCAAAAGCTCCTGCGTATCCAAAGATGTTCCCAACAATGTGGACCTGTCCAAATTCGATGGCTTCGTGTTCTACGGGAAGAGGAAGCCCATCCTGATGTGCTTCCTGTGCAAACTCTCCTTCGGGTACGTCCGCTCCTTTGTGACACACGCCGTGCATGACCATCGGATGACCCTGAGTGAGGACGAGCGGAAGATTCTTAGCAATAAGAACATCTCCGCTATCATCCAAGGGATTGGCAAAGACAAGGAACCCCTTGTAAGTTTTCTGGAACCAAAAAACAAAAACTTTCAACACCCTTTAGTTTCCACAGCTAACCTCATAGGCCCCGGACACAGTTTTTATGGAAAATTCAGTGGCATTCGGATGGAAGGGGAGGAGGCTGTCCCAGCCAGCTCTGCCACTGGCCCCGAGCAGCCCCAGGCTGGTATCTTGCCCCCCAGCACCCTCTTGAACCTTGGTGGGCTCACCAGCTCGGTCCTGAAGACCCCCATTACCTCAGTCCCCCTGGAGCCTCTGGCCTCCAGTCCTACCAAATCCTCAGAGGGCAAGGACTCTGGGCCAGCAGAAGGAGAGAAGCAAGAAGTGGGTGACCCGGATTGCTTCTCTGAGAAAGCAGAGCCTGTCGAGGAGGAGGTGGAGGAGGAGGAAGAGGAGGAGGAGGAAGAAGTGGAGGAGGAGGAGGAGGAGGAGGAAGAGGAGGAAGAAGAGGAGGAGGAAGACGAGGGTTGCAAAGGACTCTTTCCGAGCGAGTTGGATGACGAACTGGAGGACAAGCCCCATGAGGAGTCTGGGGCTGCGGCAGGTAGTAGCAGCAAAAAGGACCTTGCTCTCTCAAACCAAAGCATTTCTAACTCCCCCTTAATGCCTAATGTGCTCCAGACCCTGTCGAGGGGCACAGCTTCTACTAGTTCTAATTCTGCTTCTTCCTTTGTTGTCTTTGATGGTGCGAACAGGAGGAATCGTTTAAGCTTTAACAATGAGGGTGTCAGGGCCAATGTGGCAGAGGGCGGCAGGAGGCTGGACTTCACTGACGAAAGTGCCAATAAAGACAATGCCACAGCACCAGAACCAAATGAAAGCACAGAGGGCGAGGATGGGAGCTTTGCCTCCCATCACCAGCACTCGGGCTCCCTCTGTGAGCTTGGGGTTGGAGAGTGCCCCTCGGGGAGCGGCGTGGAGTGCCCCAAGTGTGACACGGTCCTGGGCTCCTCCCGCTCGCTTGGTGGCCACATGACCATGATGCATTCCCGTAACTCGTGTAAGACCCTCAAGTGCCCCAAGTGCAACTGGCACTATAAGTACCAGCAGACGCTGGAGGCGCACATGAAGGAGAAACACCCGGAGCCTGGGGGCTCGTGTGTCTACTGCAAAAGTGGGCAGCCCCACCCTCGGTTGGCGCGAGGCGAGAGCTACACCTGTGGTTACAAGCCTTTCCGCTGCGAGGTTTGTAACTACTCCACAACGACCAAAGGCAACCTCAGTATTCATATGCAGTCCGACAAGCATCTCAACAACATGCAGAACCTGCAGAACGGAGGGGGCGAACAAGTCTTCAGTCACACGGCTGGCGCAGCGGCGGCTGCAGCGGCCGCCGCCGCCGCCGCCGCCGCCAACATCGGTAGCTCCTGCGGGGCGCCCTCGCCCACCAAACCAAAAACCAAGCCCACCTGGCGGTGTGAGGTGTGCGACTACGAGACCAACGTGGCCAGGAACCTCCGCATTCACATGACCAGTGAGAAGCACATGCACAACATGATGCTGCTGCAGCAGAACATGACCCAGATCCAACACAGCCGCCACCTGGGCCTCGGCAGCCTGCCCTCGCCCGCCGAGGCCGAGCTCTACCAGTACTACCTGGCGCAGAACGTGAGCCTGCCCAGCCTGAAGATGGAGAGCGCCGCCTCGGACGCCCAGTTCATGGTGAGCGGATTCCAGCTGGATCCCGCCGGGCCCGTGGCCGCCATGACGCCTGCTCTAGGTGAGGCTGACTTCCTGTTTGTTCCTTTCACTTCTGTGAGTTTCATTGGGGGGAATTGGAAACAGCCAGCCCTGTTGCTTTGGTCCCTTTTTCTGTCCTTCAGTTACTGCGTGTATATGTGAGTATCTAAGTTCGCTGGGTTTTGTCTGATATTTTCTCTCAAGAAGCTGGGATTCGGTGTGTGCCTGTGGAGGATGTACGCATTCTGGCCGCACTTCTGGCCGGGATTAAACTTTTAAGTGTTTCCTCTGGTTTTTGGCGAACGCTCAACCTTTCTTTCTGTTCCATTCTCTCTTTCTCTGTGTGTTCCTTAATTTGTAAAATCGCCATAGTTATTCGAAACTTTTTGGTTTCATTAAATATTTATTGGAACTTACAGGAAATGTAGCTAGATTTTTAAGTGGGGAAACTCGTCTCAAGAAGAACTAGAAACCATAGTATGTTTTATTCAGATAACTGAAGGCTGGTTCTGTGCTGAGCTGGAAACTACCCTAGGACTTCACAGCGTTCTCCAGTGCATTTGTGAGAATCTCCAGGGAAGAGACATGGGTGGCTTTTTTTTTCCCTCCCATCTTATTTTAGGTGAGTTTTTGCTGATAACTGTAGTTTGGAATTGGGAATTAAATGGCCTTAGGGACAGTGTAATGAGTGGCGTGATAGGGGAAACGGGAATGAACCAACAAATTTATACATCAAAGAATGATCGTTGCTAATGGAGCTTTTGTTGCCATGAAACTTGGCCCATGACCAACTGAGGGAAGTTGGGGTGGCTCTATCCAAAGACCAGGTCTTACCAATTAGCTTAATACACGTAGAACAGGATCGAGACTTTGAGAAGTTAGATGCTGAAAACTGTGAGTCTTGGGTGGAAAGAATCCCCCCACTTTGAGGAGAGATTCCACGGCAAGATCATCCACCAATCAGCCTTCATGAAGACGAGGGTGATTGTTGGGTCACCCCTGCACCTACCCACTCCTTGTTTCCGTGCGGCCCCGCCCCTTGCCCGGTCTTCATTCCCTGACCTTGCTAACCTCTTGGGACTAGCAGTGACAGCCAATTAAGTAGTATCGCATTACGGACAGGACAGCCGTTAACAACAACAGCAGTACTGACAAGGGTGTAAGTTGTTGGCTACAACAAAGTGTGAGCAAGTACCTTTATTCTGGGACGGTTTAGGTTAATGCCAGAGGAGCAGACTTCACTGGTTTGCAGGTCTTTTTCTGTGTGGTGTTTCAGTGCTAACTGTTGCTGATGAGTTCTATTTCATAATATTTAATTTAGTTTCCTGCTATGTATTTAAATGAGTCCCTGATACTTTAATCATGTTTTCTATTTTGAAATATTTACCTGTTCATCCCTTATTACCAAACGATTTGAAGATGTTTTACCAGCTGGGGAATCATCTAATCTATCTCCATAGGTAGCGTGGGCATCAGTATTATAGGAAATAGAAGGAGCCCTGGTAGCACAGTGGTTAAGCGCTCAGCTCCTAATTAACTAAAAGATTGGAGATTTGAACCCACCCAGCAGCTTCAAGGAGCTCTGATAGCTTAGTGGCTAAGGCACTTAACTGCTAACCAGAAGGCTGGAAGTTCAAACCCACCAGCCACTCCTCGGAAGGAAGGCTGGGCAATCTACTTCCGTAGTGATACCGCCTTGGAAACCCAAGGAGCGGTCATTATGAGTCGGGATCAACTCGATGGCACATAACAACAGCAACAGCAGCAGTTTCAAGGGAGAAAAGACCTTGCAGTCTGCTCCCATGAAGATTACAGCCCAAGAATCCCTGTTATGTCCCATGAAGTTGCTAAGAGTTGAAAATCAGTTTGATGGCAAACTAACACCAGCATCGGAATTAGGGTTCTCTGATCTCAAGGCTTAAACCTTGAGAGCATTATGGATGAAGTTCTAACCCCTGTACCTGTGAATATGACTGTACTTGGAAATAGGGGGTTTCTTTTGTTATGCCAGGGAGGTCATAAGGGGGTAAGGGTGGGTTCTAAACCTCATCACTTCTGAGTGTTGTCTTATAAAAAGAGCAGCCTGGACATGGAGACATACACAGGGGATGACAGACGCCAGAAAAGTCCCGGGGCTACCAACAAGGGAAGATACCCCCCAGCCCCACCCCACCGATGCCCTGCTTTTGACTTCCAGCCCCCAAAACTGTGAGAGAATGAATCCCTGTTTTTGTAACAGCCAAACTAGGAAGCTAAGATGGAGAGGCCGAGTTTGAAGTAAATTATATTTAATTGATGGAATGCCACACACTGGGCAGCTGATAAGAACAGAAATGATAAGAACTCTCTCACAGTTCTAGAGACTGGACATTTGAGATCCAGGATGTCAGCTGTGTTTATTCCTTCTGAGACTTTGAGGGAGTCTGTTCCATGTCTCTCTCCCAGCTTCTGGTAGCACCAGGTGCTTGTTGGCATGGAGCTGCATTGTCACATGGGGTCCTTCCTCTCTCTCTGCCTCCATGGATCTCCTCTTTTTTATAAGGATACCACTCATAGAGGGTTAGGACACACCTTGCTGCACTATGACCTCATGTTCACCTAACTGATAACACCTTCACATGTCTTGTTTCCAAACATGATCTCATTCACAGGTACAGGAGTTAGAGCTTCAGCATATGTTGTTGCATAGCATCATATCTTTCTAGAGGGACACAACTTAATCTAGAACATAAATGAGCGAGGATGTAGGTGATAATGAAGACGTGGAAGGCAGATGGGTACCTATGAGGTCAAAGTGATACATTTTATTACCTTAAAAATGGATCATTCTTACTGTGGCTGGAATTGAGAGGTGGAGACTTATTTTCCTTTTGTACCAAGTGTTTGTGAGTCTATGGGGCATCATGAGCTCTTGAGCATTATGGCTGATGCTTAAGAAATAGATGATCAGAATGCATCCCTGTGTTGGAGACACACATAGAAGACCCACACTTTATTTCTTAAAGAGAATAGCTCTCTTCCTTCTAAGGACTTTATCCTAAGAAGGGCTCTTGAATTTCCAGGGTCACTGTTTATTGGCTGAGGTAAGTCTTTGGAAACCTCCAGTGCTATCCTGAGGCACTAAGGGCTGTTGAGTTGGAGTGAAAGCCACAGTCCTTTATACTGGAGCTTTAGGAAGTGGAAGGACTTAGAATTTAAGCAGTACAGTCTTGGTAGGAGAAACCAATATCTGCAATGAAGAGAGGGGACATTCAGGTCTAACTTTGCTGTTGATCTCCCAACTTCTTCCTTAAGTCATTTAAAAGAGGGTTGTAGGAATTATTAGATATTGCTGGGTGGGATATCTATGGTATTTTTTTTTTATGAATTACACTCCTGCTTACAAAGTTACAGAGTCCACAGGTGGTACAAACAGGTAACTCACTCAACTACTAACTGAAGTGGCATTTCACATCTGTCCGGAGGCAGCTTGGAGGCAAGGCCTGGTGATCGGCTTCCAGAAACTCAGCTGTTGATAACCCTGTGGAGCACAGTTCCACTCCAACACACATGAGGTCGCCATGAATCAGAATCGACTTCACAGACACTGATTCTGAGGGTGCTTCCTTGCTGGAGACCTTTAAGGAGAGGGTCAGCACCTCTTAGTCTGGTCCATTTGGATCTGGCATTCTTTGTGAACAGGATATTGGACTTACGGCCGTGTGAGCATCTCTCCAACCATTCCTTTAGGTCCAGGAGTTGAGCACCACCCTGAGGGAGGGGCTGCTGCGGGACATCTGTGTGTTTTCCAAGCAGCCACTGGATCCTTGCACCAGGTTGAACAGCTCCTGTGGGTCTACCTTTGATTCTAGAAAGTGTCTTTGAGCCTTTGTGCTCTGTGAGTCTATAGGTGGGTTCATGTGTAAATTTCCCATGTTACAGTTAGATGCCTTTCCACTTGGGAGTCACCATGAGTCCAGCAGGCTCGATGGCAACTAACAGTAGCAAAACTTAGGTGTATATGGGGAGATAGGGGGCTCTCCTCTTTCCAGGAACATGCATCCAGTGTGGCCTGAGAGTGAAGACCACAAAGTCTTCCTTAAAGGGGCTGTACTCCTAACTTAACTGCCTGTGGACTGGGGGTTTAATTAGCTCCTTCTTTGGTGATATAGTGGTTAAGGCATTTGGCTGCTAACCTAAAGGTTGGTGGTTTGAACCCACAAGCCACTCTGCAGAAGAAAGATGAGGCCATCTGCTTCCGTAAAGATTTATAGCCTTCCAAACCTAAGAGTTTCCAGGGGGTCGCTAAGAGTTGGAATCAACTTAATGGCATTGAGTTTGGTTTTTGGTTTGGTGAGTTGTGTAGGATTCTTGATTGAGGACTGGCTTCTCTAAGGAATAGTTCTTGAAGGAAGTTTTAGCTTGCCTTTCATCCTAATTTCACTACTCCTCTGCTCCTGCCTTTGGTTTGTGTTTCTTTTTAAGAGCTCGGAGTGGGAATAGGGGCTGATTGCTTTTGGGTGTTCCAAGGACCTCTAATTTTCATTCAAGTGTCCAGCAAGTGATAGCTACGTTTCTCTTTACAGTGATGCCTATGCACTGAGATCCAGTGTAAAAAGCGGAGAGGGTTGATTCTTCAGGTAGTCAGCATCAGGAACAAATACATGTTTGGTCCTTGTCTTACCTTCTGGGCACTTTCTTCTTTTACTGAACCCTGAGCATGTTTCCCGATGTCCCTATTAAGGGTGGGAGTTTTTCAACTCCCCCCCCCCCCTTTTTTTCCCCTCCTTTGTCCTAAGAAAAAATGTCTTAGTTATGGCTCCTCTCACCAGGGGCGATGGCAGGAGAGTTGAGGAGTAGGAATCTACCTCCATCTTCTGGAATGTTCCTGCGAAAAAGATTTCTGTGGCCTGCCTAGCCCGTCCACAGGCTTCAGACACGACTGATCTGTTGAGTGGCATCTGTACCACTACCTCGTGTAGCATACATAAGAAAAAACATTAAAAACAAAACAAAAAAGATCTTTTTTTTAATTAGCCACTAACATGAATTCTCATCAGTCATTAAAAAAAAAAAAAAAAAACCTCAGCCCAACTGCATGTAAAAAAAGGTCAAGTTTAAATATCACTTGGGAGGGAGTGAAGGCAGACATGATAGCTGAAGTGTGCTTTGTATTTAGGGGTGAGGCAAAAAATAGAAGCCGCTGCTCAGCTTTCTGCTTGACTCCACGCTTCTAGATAATGGAGGGGAGGCTGCTCTGTCCAAGCCTCTCTCGTAATGTAAATAAGAGCCTGATGCATTCATTTACCATTAGTGAGCGAGCATGTTTCTGGTCTGTGCAGGTTGGTGATAGATGGAACGAGAGTGGGGCCGGGGAGGGAGGTGCAGACTTTTCTCTGACCCTTTTTCCTGTCGCACAAGTTGACCATTGCGTGTCACTGCCCGCCTCCGTCCACTTCCTGCACATGGAACACCTTGACTCCTTTGTTACCCCTGCTTGGCACAACAAACATTTGAGCAGCTCTGTCGAGGGCTGGATGCACTGGAGGTTCAGAGAGGAGAGGCCAGCCCCCTGTGCTAGAGACACTGACCCTGACGGGGGCTGCTGACCAGTATGTGGCTGACTCTGTGACAGAAAGTGTGACACACACCATGTGGGGTGTGTATGTGTATGTGTGTGGTGGCTCAGAGAAGGCAAAAGATGCAGTGACTGGGGAGACTTGGGGGCTGATGTCGATAGCATTAACGAGCCAGTAGGATATTGGCCGGAGGGGTATGGGGAGGAGGGAGGAGATCAGTCCCGAAATCTTTTCTTGCTTTTCTTTTAAAATAATGATTGATTGTGTTTCTGGTGAAGGTTTACATAGAGGTTTAAGTTCCCGTTCAACAGTTTCTACACAGGTGGTTCAGTGATGTCACATTCTTCACAACACGTGGCCATTCTCGTTACTTCTACTCTGGTTGCTCCATTTCTGTTAACGTCATTCCATCCCGAAATCTTTGATGCAGATTCGTGCGGTCTGGTGCAGTAGCCACTAGCCACATGTGGCCATGCAGATTAAAATGAAATGAAATAAAATGAAGCATCCAATTCCTCAGTCGCACTGGCCGCATTTCACATGTTCAGTAATCACAGGCAGCTAGTGACTGTCGTATTGGACAGCACATCCGTTATCGGAGGACATTCTAGTGAACATCTTTGTCTTGGGTCAGTTCTGGGCAATGGTTCACCATAAAGACTTGACATCTTAGATTGTACTGTAACTCATTTCTAGCTTTTTTGGGTCTTGCCTTTCAAAGTCTCTTGTAGCCAGTTGACGCTGCTTGTTTCTGTCTTTTCTTGGATCTGAGTGAGGTGCTGAATTGAAATAGTCAAGAAGTTATGGCTTCTAAGTGTTATTTTCCTAAAGAAAGAAAACATTAGGCCTTCCACAAATCTCAGAAAGTCTGTGGGAAATACTGTGTACTTTTCTTTTTTTGTTTTTCTGGCTAGTAACAAGCAGAAAACACTTGCCCTCTAGTTGACTTGACTCATGGTCAAAGTAGAACTGTGTTCCATAAGGTTTTCAAGGACTCATTATTTCGGAAGTAGATTGCCAGACCTTTCTTCTGCGGTACCTCTGGGCCAGTTTGAATCTCCATCCTTTGGTTAGCGACCGAGTGTGATAGCATCTTGCAAAACTTGAATGTAAACTTTTACTCCTTGAATCCAAGTTGAAGTTGGTGGAGGGCTGGGTCATGCCTCACTTGTGGCACTGGCTGTGAGCCTGACCTCTGACTCTATCTCTTTTTCACTCTGTTTCCTCACAGTGGGCGGTGAGATCCCCCTAGACATGCGGCTCGGGGGTGGGCAACTGGTGTCGGAGGAGCTGATGAACTTGGGTGAGAGCTTCATCCAGACCAACGATCCATCACTGAAGCTCTTCCAGTGTGCCGTCTGCAACAAGTTCACCACGGACAACCTGGACATGCTGGGGCTGCACATGAACATGGAGCGCAGCCTCCCGGAGGACGAGTGGAAGGCTGTGATGGGGGACTCGTACCAGTGCAAGCTGTGTCGCTATAACACCCAGCTGAAGGCCAACTTCCAGCTGCACTGCAAGACAGACAAGCATGTGCAGAAGTACCAGCTGGTGGCCCACATCAAGGAGGGCGGCAAAGCCAACGAGTGGCGACTCAAGTGCGTAGCCATCGGCAACCCTGTCCACCTCAAGTGCAATGCCTGTGACTACTACACCAACAGCTTGGAGAAGCTGCGCCTGCACACTGTCAACTCCAGGCATGAGGCCAGCCTGAAGTTGTACAAGGTAGGACCTGGCTCCTCGGGGTCCAGGCTGTTTGGGAAGGGGGTGGGCTAGATACTGGGGAGAGGAGATGGACAGTCTGTGCCATGTCTGGTTGATGGATGGTAACCTGGCACTGCAAGGGGATCAGTACCCACTGGATCGTGACACTGAGATGTGATGACAGGGTGCAACTGATAACTTAAGGTTCTTTTTCTGGGGTGCCCCGTGTTGGGGGGCAGGCTTAGTTTCAGCAGCCCAATCCGTCCCATCATTCTGCTCATCCCTTGGCGGTCTGCACTCACGGTTGCTGTTTCTCTTCCTCCCTTACCCTCCCTTGGCTTCTATCCGCACTGTGTTTCTCTCTTTCATGCTTTCTGCTCTCCTATTCCCTCACCCTTTTTCTGTTTTCTCTCTCGTGGGTGCCCCTGGGATGGTTCACGCATACAGTGCTTCAACAAATATATGGAGCACACCTGCTGTGTACCAGGCATTCTTCTGGGCACGTGGCTGTGTAAATGCGCAAGACAAAAGTCCCTGCCCTCATAGAGCTTCCACTCTGCTTTCTTTTTTTTGTTGGAGGTGAGGAGAGATCCATGGTAAAACCAGTGAGTAAATGATGTAGTGGGCTGGATGGTTGGTTGTAGATGCTGTGGGTGGAAAAGGGCCAGGTAAAGGGAATTTTTTTTTTTTTTTTCCTCCTCCTCTGCTTTTGTTGCTCTCTATCCCCTTTCTCCTGATTTTTTTTGGGGGGTGTTCTCAGGAACCTCATCTTCTTCCCCCTTCCTTCCTTTCCATTCCTTCTTGCTAACCTTTTCCTCTTTTCCCCCCAATACTCAGTCCTGCTCTCACCTCTCTAGACAGTAACAGGGGCGGGGACGTGTCCGGATACTGTAAATAGTCCTTTCACTTGCGCGGCAGAATTGCTCCAGACGTTTCTATTGATTTTCACTGGACTTAAAGCCTCACCTTTTTCTCTAATCATCCTATAATGGCTTTAGTATGAACAATCAGGTGCAAATCGCCATAAATCTTCTCAGCCCGTTCCACACACCTTCTGCTCTCTCGCTCGCTCTCCATCACCCTCACTTTTCTTATCAGTCTCTTCTCTTTCCTTTTATACCATTTTCCATGTTTGAGGGCTAAACGTTTAGTTCTTGCCTATCATGAACTGGTTTAATTCCCTTCTGACTCATCATAATTTAGAACAGACTCCAAATAGGGAGGACTTTTGATTCTTTCCCATATTAATCTCTGCCTAGATAGGTAATTATAACTTATTTTGTAATTGATCATGCCCAGGATGGCAGGGGCCTGTGTATTCAATGTAACATAGATGAGAAGCTGTTTTAGGGAAAGGAGGAGAGACAGGAATGGGGTAGCAGGTACAGAATGTTCTGGAACTGGCTGCTGACTCCACTTATGGATGGATTGGAGTGGTGCAGTTGGGAAGGTCTGGACATCATGCCACCAAATGCCTTAATCTAAAGTGAGCAAGAACATCAGTGGACCAGGCTCAGTTTTGTGCCACCATCGAAAGAAAAGTCTCTTTGCTACCAGTTTAAATTGGAGGTCTTAACTGGTCCAGATCAGGTCAAGAAAACCTGATAGAAGCCAGTGGAAAAAAGAATTTCTAAAAGACCTGAATGACTGAGGTTAGTACAGAACACCCAGCTTGATCATGGAAAGTCAAGTCCAGCTCTGATGAAGGTAGTGTGGAGGGACACAAAGTCTCCCTTTCCCGTCAAGCAAGACTTGTCCTTTTGATAATAAAATGCACGTGGTGGTGGTGAACCCTCCACATTGCATCCTCTGTGGGATGGAATCATGAAGAAGAGGACATCAGGTATTTGGCTTTGCTTTTCCGAAGGACCTGAACTCAGAGGCTTCACTGAGAGTACCCCTTTTGGGGCCGAAAACCATGTCCACAGAGCACACCTTGAGGTGATTTCCAGGGTAGGTGTGAGGGCAATGTTTTATTATTGGGCTTCTAAGCAGTGAGCTCTGGTCACTTATCCTCCTGGGCCCGAATTCTCTCACCTTTTTTTTTTTTTTTTTAAGGTGGAGGAAATGCTTGCTCAGAACAGCCATAAGTAGAAGGGTCATAACAGTTGGGACATAGGACAGAGTGTGGAAACTGGCCCCTGATCCCTGATGGAGAGGTGCTGAAATAATGCATTTGTCCAGCAAGTCCCTGGGGGTGATGAGCCAAGACTTCCGGGTAGCAATCCTTGCATCAGGAGCCATGGGTCATTAGTCTGGTCTCATTAGTCTTTGCGTAATGAATGTCCCCCTGCTCGCTTTGCCTCTGCTGCGGGGGCAGGAGCTCTTCTACGAGGCCTTGTGACTGAAGATGGTCCTCATTCCAACATCGCGCTAAGCGCCTTTGTCCCTCACTCTGATTGAGAGAAGCTTCTCTTACCAGTGAGGAGCCTCCTCTCTTAGGGCTTTGTTCATCCAGCTTTTTGGGTGGGGATTGGAGTGAGTTGGAGACTGAGTTTTTCTCTCGGCCCTAGTGTGGCCTGTGGTAGATGGAGATTGATTGCATGTTGTTTCTCCTCTTGCTAATGTCATCCATTAGCCCGGCACATGCATAATCAGTTTAGAGCACAGTTAACTGGGTGTAATCGAGTTCTTCACTGTCTGCTGGAGAAACCCGCTCCAGATGCTGCTGAGCCGGGGAGGGCACCCGGCTGGTCACCCCCTCCCCACACTCTGTGCTCAGCCCCTCCCCACCTCTCCCACTCCCCACAGCAGCCCTCAGCCCTGGTGCCCCCCCACCAATCACTGGTCAGTTATCCATGATGGCTCAGGTGGACACCCCAACATTGATTTCACTTCTGTATCTGCTGAGGTGGCCATGATATGTTTGGCCTCATACTGGGTCTGCCTCCCTCTCTTCCCACAGAAGCTGTCTTCTCCTTCCTTCCTTCCTGTTGGAATAGCAAGCAGTAGTGAGTGGCGAGTCCTTTGGCCACATGCTGATCCAGAGTCCTACCTTTTGGTGTCATAAATGCCAGGACGTACGTTGCTGGATAGGACTGGAACTTCCTGAAAGTGTGAACTGCTTTCTGTTCTGGACGTGGCAGAGGGTTAGGCTACCCCACACACAATCAGTGATAGTGTGCTGGTTACCTGGAATTGTCTCGTTTGAATTATTGTCCGACAGCAGCTTTTAAATCAAGATTGATGTTCAGCGTCTGCTTCCCTCCCGCCCTCTGGAAGTGGAGTGGAGGGGAAAGGGTGGTGTGGGCTGGACAGTCCTGGTACTAGGTGGAAGCGCTGTTTCCTTCTCTCTGGATTCCCAGGCAATGTGCTTGTGATTGAGTTCCTGAGGGGTTTTGCTTGTTTTAAATGATGTCCAGCTCTGGTTCAGTCCCTTGTGGTCACATCCTCTCACTCGCCATGGTCACTGACTCACCGGGAAGGCCAAAAGCTCTGGTGAATCTTGGCTGGGCTCCTGGCTTCTGTCTTTACTGAGTGTTGTGGAAAAGCGCCCTGTTTCTCAGCAGGGCTGAGCTCCAGGACATTAATTCTGCACCTTTCTGCTGTCACTTGTAAATGCATCACTCCTGTTTTAGAGGCTTGCACCCTGACCCCATCTCCCACCCCCTCCACTGTGGAGATGCAGGGTGTTCTTGCTCGAGAGATTTAAGGATGCCTGCCTCTGCTCTCCTCCATGGTGCTCTTGGATCCTGAGTCCAGGATGGCTAGTGTTGAACTCAGCACAAGCTCAGCTGCATTCGTCTCAACCTCCCCGTTAGATGGCGCTGATAGTGAGCTCTCTGAAATGCGCAGTAGTTTCTGGTTGGAGGAGGAGGGGTGCAGAAAGTGCTGTTGGAAATCAGTGCACACCTGCCAACTATTAGAATCTGGTTTTCACTTTGATGTTTTTCTTCACCTGAGAGTCATTGGCATGGAAATCCATCAATTTTAGCAGATAGATTAAGACCCCACCAGAATCTATTACTCAAACAGCTCCCAGCTGAGGTTCCTTTGATTGGGCCAATACTGAAGGCTTCATATTAATCTTAAATTAGACACAAAGAAAGTTTTCAACCAGGGTGTTGGGTCTGGGCCACATGTGAGCTGCCTTGTGCCAGCGATGCAAACAGGAAGCAGGAGACCATTGTTTAAGCTAACTCTAAACCCCATTGCCGTCCAGTAGACTCCAACTCAGCAACCCTCTAGGACAGAGTGGGATCGCCCCATAGAGTTTCCAAGGCTGTAGTCTTTATGGAAGCAGACTGCCACATTTCTCCTATGCTAAACTGAAAAGAAAAAATGGCTGGTGAGTTCAAACCAGGAACTATTTTGTTAGCAGCCAAATGCCTTAACCACTGCACTATTGACATGCTAAACTGAAAAAAAAAAAAAAAAAAAAAAAAAACCCACCAAAACTTA